AATCATTTTGCCTAAAGACCACTTCCTGACGAGTGACGTATCAATATGTCAATGGATGGGAAGGGAGATATCTTGGCCATCATTGCAGCTGCGATTCCCTTCACTGTAAAAGTAATGCTAGCAGCTAAAGGATGCGACTGGTGGCATCCAGTTCCTGGGACACAGTGAGAGGAATTCATGTTGTTCCTCTCACTGTGTGACATCAGAAATTAGAAGCGTCGAGCATGTCTTAACCACTTGAGCTCTTGAGGATTTACCCCCCTTAATGACCAGGCCTTTTTTTGCTGTTTGGCGCTGCACTAATTCAAATGATATTATGAACAATATTTTCTACTTTCAGCTATAAAAAATATATCGTAAACTCAAAGTTAGTCATACATTTAAGCCAAAATGTATTCTGCTACATGTTTTTGGTAAAAAAATCCCAATAAGTGTATATTGATTGCTTTGTGTGAAAGTTATAGCGTCTACAAACTATGGTATAGATACTGTAATTTATGCCTTTTTTTGCTATACAGCGCTGCACTAATTCAAATGATAATTGCGCGGTCATGCAATGCTGTACCCAAACAAAATTTACGTCCTTTTTTCACACAAACAGAGCTTTCTTTTGGTGGTCTTTTAACACCTGTGCGCTTTTTATTTTTTGCGCTATAAACAAAAAAACACAATAATTTTGAAAAAAAAACCAATATTTTCTACTTTCAGCTATAAAAAATATATCGTAAACTCAAAGTTAGTCATAAATTTAAGCCAAAATGTATTATGCTACATGTTTTTGGTGAAAAAAAATCCCAATAAGTGTATATTGATTGCTTTGTGTGAAAGTTATAGCGTCTACAAACTATGGTATAGATACTGTAATTTATGCCTTTTTTTGCTATACAGCACTGCACTAATTCAAATGATAATTGCGCGGTCATGCAACGCTGTACTCAAACGAAATTTACGTCCTTTTTTTCACACAAAAAGAGCTTTCTTTTGGTGGTATTTTATTACCTGTGCGCTTTTTATGCGCTATAAACAAAAAAAACACAAAAAACTTTGAAAAAAAAACCAATATTTTCTAATTTCAGCTATAAAAAATATATTGCAAACTCAAAGTTAGTCATAAATTAAGCCAAAATGTATTCTGCTACATGTTTTTGGTAAAAAAAAAATCCTGTGTATTAGCGGGCAAACTGGCGCTATATGGGAGGGGCGCTAACACTATCGGAAGTCACCAGTGACACTAATACAGTGATCAGTAAAAATCTGTTCACTGTAATCACTGGTGACAGGGCAGTGAAGGGGTTAACTGGGGGGGTGGGGGGCGATCAAGGGGTTAAATGGGATTACTGGTGTACTGGCGGGCAAACTGGCGCTATCTGGGAGGGGCGCTAACACTATCGGAAGTCGCCAGCGACACTGATACAGTGATCAGTAAAAATCTGTTCACTGATAAATGACACTGGTGACAGGGCAGTGAAGGGGTTAACTCGGGGGGGGGGGGCGATCAAGGGGTTAGACGGGATTACTGGTGTATTAGCGGGAAATCTGGCGCTATCTGGGAGGGGCGCTAACACTATCGGAAGTCGCCAGCGACACTGATACAGTGATCAGTAAAAATCGGTTCACTGATCAGTGACACTGGTGACAGGGCAGTGAAGGGGTTAAATGGGGGGGGGATTAAGGGGTTAAATGGGATTACTGGTGTACTGGCGGGCAAACTGGCGCTATCTGGGAGGGGCGCTAACCCTATCGGAAGTCGCCAGCGACACTGATACAGTGATCAGTAAAAATCGGTTCACTGATCAGTGACACTGGTGACAAGGCAGTGAAGGGGTTAACTGGGGGTATTAAGGGGTTAAACGGGATTACTGGTGTACTGGCGGGCAATCTGGCGCTATCTGGGAGGGGCGCTAACACTATTGGAAGTCGCCAGCGACACTGATACAGTGATCAGTAAAAGTCGGTTCACTGATCAGTAACACTGGTGACAGGGCAGTGAAGGGGTTAACTGGGGGGGGGATTAAGGGGTTAAACGGGATTACTGGTGTACTGGCGGGCAAACTGGCGCTATCTGGGAGGGGCTCTAACACTATCGGAAGTCGCCAGCGACACTGATACAGTGATCAGTAAAAATCGATTCACTGATCAGTGACACTGGTGACAAGGCAGTGAAGGGGTTAACTGGGGGGGGGGGCGATCAGGGGGTTAAATGTGACCTAGGTTTGTTCTAACTGGAATGTGTCCAGGCAGAGAAGAATGACATCATATCCTGTCCTGTGTAAACTTCAACACAGGACAGGATAGGACAGGGACCGATCATCTGATTTCAGCCAGACATCACTGGCTGAAATCTAATGATTGATCCCTCCGGGATTGAATGGTGTCACCCGCGGGTCAGCGGGAGCGCGCGCGTGCCCCCTGCCGGCGAAAATGTCGGGAGCGCGGGACCCATTTTAAAACGTGGTTTTGCGCCTGAGTGCCGCCCTGCACACGTATATATACAGTGGCAGGGCGGCAAGCGGTTAACTTCCGGTTTTGGTTTGATGTTTACAAACAGTTACAGGCTTGTACAAGCATCTGATCAAACTGATCTCAGTTTGATTAGATGCTTTGGAGGCCAGAGGAGACATCTGGGGTCTAATAGATCCCAGATCTCTCCATAAAGAGGACCCGTCACGGTCCGTGCTATCAAAAGGGATGTTGTTCATCCCTTGGGACAGCAATACAAGTGATAAAAAAATTTAAAGACGGTAAAGTTTAAAAAAAAAAAAAAAAAAAAAAAATCCCCATCCCCTGTGCTTGTGCGCAAATGCAAATGTCCCATGCGCATATGTAAATAGCAGTCGCAGCATACATGTGAGCGGGAGCAATAATTTTAGCTCCTGACCTACTGTGTAACTTTAAACTGGTAACCTGGAAAGGCTTTTAAAGTGTCTTTGAGTAGCCTTTGAGAAACCCTTGACAGTGCAACGTGTGAAGCTAGCAGTGAAGTCTGGATGCCATATATTGAAATATGGGTGTGACATGCTTTGTTTTATTTGCTGAAATGTGAGTGTTTTTTTACCATTCTCAATAAATATTGTGAGAACAAACTGCACTATCAATGTCATTTTGCTTCCCACATTATATTTTACCATCGGGAGATGCTCTGTGAGGAAAGAGGAAGATTGGAGAGGAGTTACGTTCGTACACTTGTAAACAAAGTGCAGTCGGCTTCCTTTTATCAATGGGGATCCAACTAAACAATTAAACTGAGCTGATACCCTGACTTAATTGCAAGAGGAGATTGCACAAAAATTGAATAGTGTATGGGACTCACTTTATTTATGGATTTTTTTATGGAATTTTTTTCCACCACTTTTGCACTTTATATTGACTTTGGAATGAAAATATTTATTATCACTGCGTCATATGGATTGATTATGTTATTATTTATTTAATCATTTACATGATTCAGTGCACATTCTATGCACATCTTTTTGTATTGAAGTTTGGTTCACACATTGAATATACATATATATGTATAAAAAAATTCAAAACATTAACAATAACATATAAAGCCATAACTCTGCCCCAAATTACATCACCAATTTTGTCTCCAAATATCACCCAAACTGTACTCTCCGCTTCTCGCACGACCTCCTGCTCTCTAGCTCCCTTGTCTCCTCCTCACATGCTCATCTCCAGGACTTCTCCAGAGCTTCCCCCATCCTGTGGAACTCTCTACCCCAATTTATCAGACTATCGCCTACTCTGCTCATTTTTAGGCGATAGTCTGATACTCTGAAAACGTATCTCTTCAGGGAAGGCTATCCTGCCCTCAGCTAATAGTGGAATCTTCTATTCCTTCTACCAGTCCATCCCCCACAGTTACTACCTTTTGTACCACTAGCCCCTCCCTCTTAGATTGTAAGCTCCAAGGAGCAGGGCCCTCCTATCCCTCTTGTATTGAACTGTATCGTTGCTGTATTGTCTCACGTTATATTGTAAAGAGCTGAGCAAACTGTTGGCGCTATATAAATCCTGTATAATATTAATAATATATATATATATATATATATATAAACACATTTATCTGGATAGCGTTTATAATTTACTGATTTGGGGTCTATGCACTGATAGCGCTTCACTGTTAGTAATGTATATTTTGTCTCATATAGTGTGATGAGTGCACATTTTTTAGCGATAGCTGCTTTCTGATTATCTTTTGTTTTGTTTTGAAATCTATTTTTGAATAGCGCATGGGGTTTTTATTATACATTTTTAAAGTGTCGCCTATGGAGATTTTAGGTGCCATAGTTCCACAGGTGTTTGCAATTTCAAAGCATAACATGTCTGGTAACTATTTACTTTGCGTAACATCATCTTTTAGAATTTACTAAAAAATGGCTATTATATTATGTTTTTTGTGCATTAAACTTCATTAGAGTGTACTTTCTCCAAAAAATGTGCATTTGAAAAAGTACTGAGCAAATATCGTGAAAAATAAAAATATGCCACACCATTTTATTCTCTAGGGCCACTGATTAAAATGTATAATGTTTGGGGGTTCTAAGTAGTTTTCTAGTAAAAAAAAATTTTTTTTTCACATGTAGGAGAGGAATTTCAGAATTGGCCCAGAGCGCATTTAATCTTGCAGCAGCTGTTAAACTTGGTCTGGTGTCTACGTTTCAGAAAAAAAAAATTGGTCATAAAAGAGTTAAAGTGACCTTGTCATCACAGGGTCACTTGTATAGAAAAGCATGCCTGCTAAAAGAAGAGCAATATATTTATCAAACCTATGCTTCTCTTGGCCACTGAGTTGAATATCTGTTTCCCTCACCACATACTGTGGTTCCTCCTGCTGAGTTGTATGTCCTTTGGCATGTGGCATGGAAGTGGATATTCTATGCACCCAGAGCAGGGGTGGACTGACCATTCCAGCACTCGGGAACTGCCGAGGGCCCAGGGCGGGGTCAGTAGGGGGCCCCATGAGATGCCCCTGGTACCTTTCATTGGCTTTTTCATAGGTTTTTTTGGGTGTTGGCGAGGACACAGGGGCCCCATAATCCCCTATTACCTGGGGGCCCCATGAGTTGTCAGTCCTCCCCTGCCCAGAAGTGTAGGATAATTACTGCGGCCAAAGGGCAACAGTAGTAGCTGAGGGGCAGCAGTCACCTTTGCATACAGTAAAACTTTAATGAGGGATTTGGTGTTAAAAGAAACACAGTTGGGATGGATGACCAAAATCAGTAAAATACCAGGGGGGGGGGGGGGGGGGGGTTGGAGAACAGCTATAGGCTTTTATTAATAAGATAATAAAAAAGGGGCAACAATACAGGAACATTATGATTATACTCCTGTACATTTAGGCTCTCTGGATGGAAAAAAAAAGAACAGTAGAAAGCACATAGTAAGCAGCTCAAATTATCTGAGGCTGCAGAAGGTGACTTAGTACATTAGGATCTTATCTCTGGAAACTCAACAGTGTCCCCTCTGTATGAAAAAGGCTGTTGCATTTGTTTCTCACCACTATTGCGGGGTTAAATTCCATGATTCTCAGCTGCAAAAAGGAATCTGAGGCAGTTTGGGAGCTAACGGAGGTGCCGACATGTCTGTGAATCCACACCTTGAACTGAACAATGGGAACACAATCCCAGTTATTGGATTTGGGACATACGCCCCTGAAACTGTAAGTGAGACAATTTTTGGCTTTTCAAGGTTCACCATATAAAGAGGGGTGCAGCATTTCATGGTTGTGCTAGGCTTGATCATACCAGATGTGATGTAGTGTATTTTCCTGCAATTATTGACAAAATTAAACCTAAACCTAAGGCAAAAATATATTAAAATCCTGCATCTTCAGAGCCCCAAACACGCAGCTGATTTAGAACTATTTATAACACTATTTATAACATCTGATGTAATTTGCTCTAATACGGAAAAATCCTTCTTGACCCCCAAATACAGTTGGATGCTTCCTGAAATATTCAGTGTTATTTCTTACTGCAACAAAAAGTTTTTCCATATGAACAGATTACATTTCTTTTCCTCCAGACGCAAAAAGGGCCCCTTGTCATTTGCAATAGTATTAACTCTTTCATGACAAATGCAAAACAAATCCTAATGCCAGAACAGTTTTACAGCTTTGACATGTGTTAGTAACACTGTACATATCATCACAACTACTTAGTGTATCCAGGTGAGTTATACCTTTTGTGGTTTCTTTACAACAAATTGGGCAAAATAGGGATTATTATTATCACAGGAAAAATGGCACAACATAGTAAAACAATAATTTTTTTAAAATGTAGCTGTATATTTCTCACTATTACCATAACCTGCCATCAAATAACAAACTATGCAGAGCTATACAAACCAGCGTGCAGGAGCTGACAGGGGAAAGATCATGTGTTTGTTTTATACACAGGTCTCTCCCCCCTTCTGTAATTCTTGGAGATCGCTCTGGGTGCTGGCGGGAATCAGTGCCGTGATTTTTTGATCAGTGCGCAACCTGTCGCATTTTAGCTGTATGTTCGTACTATAACACGGGGAAGCGGTTAAGTAGGAGAGCTAAAAATACAAAGAGCGTGATTCTTTCCAGTGGACAGTAAAAAACTCTGGAAAGTTGGAATTTAGTTATTGATTTAATGCACACTCATTATCCTATAACCTGCACCAGTTCTATTTTTGAGTAATGGAGATGGAGGGGATCGGTGGGCCAATCTGACAATAAAACACTGGGGGGATTGAACGGACATCATTTGGCTAACCCTAGGCATGTGTAAAATAATATAATTTATGGAACCGCAGACCTGCACAATTACCTTTCACTAGGGTAATCTTGTTGCAGATTTTATTTCTGGCTGGTGTGAATATCTGGTGGGCAGTAGAATTTTAATGGCCGTGATGCTTTGCGCACCAGTGGAGAGGATATTGAATGGTGGGTAAAGTGCACTGACACTGGGGCTCTTGGTTAACTAAGTATTGTAAAAAATGATTTTACATCGATTCTACAAACTATAATATACTGCAATTTTTTTTGTTGTTGTAATCAATGTGTGTTACAATAATGGCGTGTCATCAGCAGATGGTTTAATAAATGGAGATGTGAGTGCGGGTGGGCAATTATGACAATAACTGACACTGGGGGGTATTTGACTAATTGCCACTGACATCGCCTAGTGACAATAAATATAGTGATCAAGTTATAACACATACACTGTCACTGGGTAATCAAGGGGTTACATGTGTGCTTAACTATGTGTAAAAGTGTGTGCTGCCCTTTTACTAATAGGTCTGTTTAGTTTCTTATCCCTGCTTTGCAGGGAATGAGAAACAGAGAGATTGTTCCCTGTATACAGAGCTCTGTGTTGATTGTGGACTGTGATTGTACCCAGTTTATCTGCAGGTCCTGACCGGGACCAGCAGCAACATGCGGGTACATTACTTTTCCTGTGTGGACCGCCCTTCAGCAGTACATTGAGGATGGGCGGTCCGCAAGTGGTTAAAAAATAGAACTTTTATTTACTATGCATGTCCTTGCTGGATTGATCTCCCATTTGTTTTATGTCAGTGACCACACATTTGTGATGGTAATGAGGTCTGGGGAAGGGGATATCAAGACTCAGTTTCAAATTCTTAGGTTAAGCATTCACAGCTATGTTGACACTGTATTCCATCTACCAGCCAGCCGTGACCCCACCCTTTACACTGCAGAACACAATCTAAGCAGATAAGTAGCAGAACTGTCCATCAAGTTACAAAAGAACCATAAATCCTACCTAATAGACTATGTCTGTAACTACTTTTTTATTTAGCTAATTTAATGACATTGATAGGATTTTTGTCAGCAGAACATTAAAACCTTTTTACTGGTTAATTGGCATTGTAATGTCATTAAGGCTGTTAACAGTAAACATTTGCTATCAGAATGTAGATAATCACACTGAAATCTAGACAACTGTGATGAATTAATCATAAATGTTTTGGGAAAATTCCAATTTCCGTCATTTGGCAGCGCTGAACTGCCCGAACCTACAGAGGTCTCTGCAAGAAATGCTTAACCACTTTAAGTGTGCCCTATAGCATAAATACTGCTACAGGGCAGACTCCCTGCGCAAAATCAAGTATATATATGTGATTCGCGCTCTCTCCCGCGGGCTGATGGGTGTGTGGGGCAGGCGCTGCCTGACTAATCATCAGATTCAGGGATCTTCCTGTACCTGTGTTTACATTTACACAGGTACAGGAAATAATGAAATCTTCTCTCTCTGGGACGGAATGTGTAAAAGCACTACACATACACAGTTAAAACACTTATAGGGCACATGTAACCCTCTGATTGCCCCCAGTTAACCCCTTCACTGCCCTGTCACCAGTGTCATTAGTACAGTGTACAGATTTTTTTACTGATCACTGTATTAGTGTCACTGGCGACTTCAGATAGCATTAGCGTCAGATTGCCCGTCACTACATCAGTCATGACATTTAACCCTTGATTGCCAGGAACACGTTCACATACACAATAAACCTTCATTAGTAGTATAGTGTCTGAACGGATCAATATCTTTGATCAGATCAGCACTATAACAGCATTCACATTAGTATAGTGTCCCCAAAAATGCAGCATTAGCGGGATCAGCCCTGGCACCTGCCCAGCACCTGAGTTTAGCCCCTACGCTTAACCCCCCCTTCTATTGTTAACCCCACTGTTTTATTGTTAACTATTGCTGTTTGATTTGCAGGAATGCCATTCAGCTGCAGCAGTGATCTGTTTATTCTGACAGCAACAGAGTCTTGCTCGCAGAATTTACATAAGTAACTGTGTGCAGCGCTGTTGGATGAAATTTTTCATCCGCAGTTAAAAAAGAGCATATATGCCCACGCATGGGGGCCTGGGGTGGCATACAGTTGCAAGAAAAAGTATGTGAACCCCTTGGGATTACGTGGAGTTTTGCATGAATTGGGCATAAAATGTGCTCTGAACGTCATCTAAGTCACAACAATAGAAGAACACAGTCTGCTGAACATAATACTACACAAATATTAGATGTTGCCATGGTTTAATTGCACATAACATGTAAACATTCACAGTGCAGGGAGGAAAAAAGTATGTGAACCTTTGGACTTAATAACTGGTTGACCCTCCTTTGGCAGCAATAACCTCAACCAAACGTTTCCTGTAGTTGCAGATCAGACCTGCACAACGATCTGGAGTAATTTTGGACCACTCCTCTACACAAAACTGTTTCAGTGTAGCAATATTCTTGGGATGTCTGGTGTGAATCGCTCTCTTAAGGTCATGCCACAGCATTTCAATCGGGTTGAGGTCAGGACTTCAGAAGGCGCGCTGTTCTGTGCTGTTGCAGCCATTGTTTTGTTGAATTACTTGTATGCTTTGGGTCATTGTCCTGTTGCATCACCCATCTGTTCTGTCCCCACATGAAGGCGAATGAAGGTATATCTAATAATGGCTGTGTAACCTCCTACCTTCGTATCCAAGCAGTGGAGCAGACCGGAACCGGCAGATGCTCAGGTTAGACGGATCCAAACGTATACACGGGAATGAAATCAGCGTGGGTTTATTTGGTCCAAAATACAGCGACAAACAGTGATACAATACTGTAATGTAGTAGAGGTATTGATGCTGTCCTGTGATATCTTTCCTGAGGCTAACTGCTGGTCAAAAAAACTGATGCCTTCACAAGCCTAGGGTATAGAATGTCCTGTCACACAGCTATATAGCAGATAAAATGGCTGCAGGAAGTGACCAGAACCAAGGCTTGCCTAAAACCACGCCCAGCAGAGAAAAACACTTACTAGCTATAACAGAGGCATGCAGCATGCAAATTCTGGCCAGCAGATGGCAGCAACAGATCAAGACATAGAAACAAACATGGTGAAAAATAAGAATTGGTGATACAATGCACAGTTAAATAACAAATATGAGGGGAACAGCACACTCCCCGTCTGAAATTCCATAAGGGATTTCACTATGACGAATGTCCATAATATAAAACAACCTGTAACAAAGAACATGTTAGAATGCAATAAACATAACAATATAGTAGATTCCGAGTTGGAA